GTCTGGGGCTGAGGGTTACGGCGTCGCACCCGTCTGTCCAGGGCATCCCACAGATGTTCGATCGGGTTTAAGTCCGGTGATCTTGAGGGCCAGGGGAGCACATTGATGTTGTGGTTCTGGAGGAAGTCTCTAGTGTGACGTGCTTTGTGGGGCCTGGCATTGTCCTGTTGAAACAACTCCCTCTGGCGATCAATGATTGGAAGGAGGTGTGGGCGTAGGATTTCGTCACAGTACCGTTGAGCTGTCAGGTTGCCCTGGATCATCACCAAATCACTTTCCTACGGCAGGTGATCGCTCCCCACATCATAAAACTTCCCGGCCGAATCTGTCCACCTGGGGAATGCAAGCGTCGGCGAAACGTTCACGTCGACGTCTGTACACCCGCATTCTTCCATCGCGTCGTTCCAATAGAAATCGTGATTCATCACTGAACCAGATTCTACGCCAATTCGGTAGGTTCCAGGCCTGAACGTTGGTGCACCATTGAACTCGATGTCGACGATGTTGTTGTCGAAGCACAGGGCCACAATATGGTCTTCTGGCACGTAAACCAGCCTCTCTCAACCTGTTCCTGACGGTCTGTGCAGAAAGCCTCCTCAATCCGGGTATTTGTCGAGCGGTACTGGTCGCCGTAGCTGTTCGATGACGCAGGTGATGTACCCGGATGTAGCGATCCTGCGCCGCAGTGGTCGCTCGAGGTCGCCCACTACGAGGGGCATCTGCTACCGCATTCTGCCGGCGATCTCTCCCAGAGCCGTGAAATGGTGCTTTGGTGAACATTCATGCGTCGGGCAACTGCACGTTGAGACTGGCCAGCTTCAAGCAAACCAATGGCGATATGACGGTTGGCTTCACTTAGACGTGGCATTTTGCGTTCGTCAACAATATTCCAAATACAGTGAATAATCGACAGACAGCGATCAACCTTTTATACCCATCATTGAGACTATCTGATCCCCAACTTTCACGTGCATTGCATGTGAATTGTGTATTCTGTGACACTACACGCCGAAATTGAAAATCATGCTGTTAAATACGGGTATTTTACCGATGGTGCGTTTTGTTGTGATGTTTCAAAACATAAACACCATAGGACTCATAAACAGAGCAAAACCTTTTGTAAAATGAATCACGTTTTAATTCATTGCTACATGAAATTGCTATTTTCATGATGCGTTTCTTTTTTGGGAGAGTATATATGAAGACACCAAGGAGCTCACAATTGTTGTACGTAATATGAGGGTTATGGATTATTAGGGGTTTTATTATCCACGACTGATGACCTCAGTGATGGCTGATGACATCAGTTGATATGATGGTGACTTGACTTAAAACTTAAAACAATAATCCCGTTGGAGACCTCACAATATTTGTTCGTAATATGGGGGTTATGGATTATTAGGGTTACGCTATCCACGAGTAATGATGATATGATGTTGACTTGACTTAAAACGATAATCCCGTTTCAAACAAGACCACTGGTCTATTCATGAAGAACTGTTTACAGTGCAACCTCTTTAAACCAGACGGTGCTGTCCCCGGTATTATCAGCAGGCCCACGAATCAAAGTAACACAAACACAAATTCAAATACGAGTTTCTTAGCTAGCACGATTTCCCTAGGTCCTATTCAAGAGAGTTACCATACTGGGTGAGTGAGGTTAGTTTTACGCCGCTTTTAGCATTATTCTAGCAATATCACGGCGGGGGACACCAGAAATGGGCTTCACACATTGTACCCATGTGGGGAATCGAACCCGTGTCTTCTGCGTGACGAGCGAACGCTTTAACCACTGGGCTACCCCACCGTCCAGTTGAGTTTTCAGTGTAGAACTAAAATACTTGAGGATGGTACAGGGAAAGTAGACAAACATATAGTCTCTCCAATTAACATATTTTACAGAAAAACGGTACCTTAATCATATTTAAAAAGATAAAAAGACTCCAGAGATTTTGTTCCTTTTCAGAAACTGGTAATCTAGACTTGCCACACATTCTAGACCTGCATGTGCTTTATTTGGTATACATGTATTTTTGTTTCAGGGTCTGCATGGCAGACAACAAGAACGCGCTGTGTGAGCTGAATTTAACGATGACGTAAATGACCCTGGCGGACCGAAGATGAACTTGATAAGTGTTTGGGAGAGATAAGGGTTTATTTTCAGCATTGTGGCTACAAGACGGGAGACGCACCAGAGGAATCCCTGGTTAGAAGAGACCCCGATCGACATGTGCTTGTCAATAAGGTGATCAAATATATCGGGTGACTTTGTGATCCCGTTATTGTCACCGACGGCGCGGATCATTGCTAATAATTTCATTGGTTTCTCTGGGCCAGATTCGATCGTTTACAGGGCGCCGTCAGAAAGCAGGTGCGACGTTCAAAAGTACAAAACAAACAATACAGTAACTGACTCCATTTTAGAGGAAGCGATGCCGGACCTTGCCGAGACGAACAGACGCATGAACACGTGGCTATATGCACCGCTTAAATGAAGATGGGAAGTTTAAAGCGCTGGGTCGATTGTTCACGAAGGGAGGCAACCATGAATGACTAACACAGGAAACTTTCTATACAGATAGGTGTTGGGTGAAGTGGTGCTTCTTAGTTTACTGGCGACTGTCATATCGTGTTAGTGTAACTGGACCTTCTCGTAAGAGGGCGGTAACAACTAGTGTCGCGTACACTCGCCCTGTTTTGTTGTTTGACGCCGCTCTCGTCCACAATCTAGCCATATGACCGCGGTTTATTGAATAGTCGAAGGCGGACCAGACAATTCAGTGATTGACATCATGAGCATCGATCCCGATCCATGGCACGGATCAGAGACACGATGGCACGGATCAACCATTACCGTGAAGATCCGGGTTAGAATTGATCTTCAGTAACCCATGCTTGTCGTAAGACTTTTAAGAGGCAGCTAACGTGATCGGATGGTCCCTGTCTTGTTGACACATGTCATCGTATCCCAATTGTGTAGATCGATGTTCATGATGTCAATCACGGGATTGTCTGGTCCAGACTCGATTACTTACAGACCACCGTCATACATCTGGAATACTGCTGAGTGCGGCGTAAAACTGAACTCACTCACGCATCAACCAAGTCAGATCACCCGATCCACTAGTTAGAGTTCGCTTCTAGGTCACGCCCTGTTAAACATGAAGACCGGTATTGTCTTTATGTTTGCATGTTGTTTAACGCCGTAATTCACCAGCTATATGACGGTGGTCTGTAAAGAATCGATTTCCGACCGGACAACCCGGTGATCGCCATCATGAGCATCTGTATGCGATATTTGGATACGATGACATACATCAAGTTTATTATATGACGGGTAGATTTCCGCCCTGCTGATTGGCCCACTTGGTCACATGACAGCTTTGACGCTAAGCGATGTCAACAATCCACGAACCTCCCGTGGCTAAAAATAGATTGGGATATTCCAGCTGTGAACTCCGCACTGCGTGCGTCACGCTAGATAAGGAAGCGATAGGCATCGCTTCGTCCCTGTGATTGTGTTGGTTTAGAGTTACGTCCCATCTGTATCAAAATGGCTGCACCTCTGGGTCATGTGCAACGCCCCAGATAGCAATGTCCGTTGGGCCAATGTTGGACTAACATTGGCCATCATTGGGCCTACGTTGGCCAATGTTGGCCCAACGAACATTGCTATCAGGGCGCCATCGGTGGTATGCTATGTGACACAAGAACAGGTATTCAGTACTTTTGTCATATAATAGAACAATAATTGACTTCGCCTCGGTGAATATCACATGCCCAAGGTCGATAAATCATTGGATCAACCTCACTAGAAGTCTCACGCCGAAGGCCCGGGTTCGATTCCCCACATGAGCACAATGTGTTAAGCCCATTTCTGGTGTCCCCCGCCGTGATATTGCTGGAATATTGCTAAAAGCGGCGTAAAACTAAACTCAGTCAGTCAGTCACTAGAAGTCAATAATTGTATAATGTCAAGTGACTATCCGGACCCGCTAATCACTGTAAATCACCTCTAACGGCCAGCATGGGTTGCTTGATCAAGACTGGTGTTGCCACTGTAACTTACTAAAAACTAGCAACTTGGCATTTCCCTGCCCCGTCTGTCCCTGGGGATTTTCATCAGCGAATGTCGTTTAATGCCGCAATCAGCAATACTCGGGATATATAAAAACAGTCTATTGATCACTGGATTGTCTGGTCCAGACTCCATTATTTACAGACCGCCGCCATATAGCTGAAATATTGCTGTGTGCGGCGTAAAGCTAAACTCACTCACTCACTCACTCCGTCTCCACGTATTGACTCTGGTTCAGTTAAACCAGTGATATACAGTTGTGTTGTCTTAGCAAGGACATCTACCCATGAGACACTACATAACTACCAACCTCTACACTTTATTCAAAACTTAAGAATCAGGTTTTGGGGTTGACGAGGAAACATAACTACTTCCTATTTGTCCTCAATTCATATGCATCACGGCAATTGAAATAGGAGTAGGTTTCACAAGCTTGAGTGAGTTTAGTTTTACGCCGCAATCAGCAATATTCCAGCTATATGGCGGCGGTCTGTAAATAATCGAGTCTGGACCAGACAATCCAGTGATCAACAACATGAGCATCGATCTGCGCAATCTGGGAACCGATGACATGTGTCAACCACGTCAGCGAGCCTGACCACCCGATCCCGTTAGTCGCCTCTTACCACAAGCGTGGGTTACTGAAGATCAATATCCTAAACCGGACCTTCACGGGTCACAAGCATAAGACCCAACTTGGGGAATCGAGATCAACCACAATGTTGTCAATTTCTCAAAAATATGTCTAAAGGTGGTAAAACCAGTTTTAGAGGTTTTCAGTAATATATAAATTTTACTGTATATTAAGGAGGTATCAATATTTGTTCATCTGTTGTGGAATCATATCTATCAATCGATCTAAGTGATACTCATTTTTTGTATACATTTTTTTTTACATTTGAAAAACAAAATAACTATAGTATTGCTTTTCATGAACATTTTAATGATCATCATCATCATCATCATCATCATCATCATCAATAAGGCACATTAATGCTAATAAATATCACAGAGCACGATCAGTTGTCGAAGTGTCACGTGGCACGATGCATAGAGTTTGTGTCGAACATGAACTGTTCTGATAATGGCGGGACTTTCTTTGGTAAATGTCAGTATCCGCTTCTGTAAGGAATGTCAGTTGGGCCATTGGAAATGGTTGCTTTCTTGCAGAAATGTCAGAAATAATTGGACCCTGAACTGTCAAGGCTGCAATATGGTCCACAGAAAAGAACAGGTTATCCCGTTCATACGTCCCCGTTGACCAGCAACAGGGGAGACAACCGCGTTACGAGTCACACGTTCCGTTAGAGAAAGAATTGCATATCTGCATCACCAATTTCATTTTAGCCCGTTTTCACTGAAACATACACACACCATATGTGAATAGACACGTGTAAACAGCGCGACACGTGAAATTCCACTGCACTGTTCACAGTCACTATAGTTACATACACAAGTCACCACGGTCTCCACACTGGCTCCTCCGCTACTGGTCGAATACCCGCCTGACCCGGGGGGTGAGGATACACAGGGGAGATGGGAGGGGCGCTGGTGGGTGAAGGGGGGTGAGGAACTGGGGATCGATTCACAGTTTTGTCACACGGCGACGGAGACACAATTTCCTGTTTTACGCATGTCTCAACTTTTCTGTCTGAAGAGGGCGCTGCATATAACGGTACGGCTTGCACAGGGGAGGGCGATGTCAGGACGAAAGCCACCTGTCCCGTGGGTAGGGTTCCTGGGATAAACTGCACGGGCGTGGTCACGCATTGGGGGTTCATCTGGATCTGCTTGTGGGGAGAGGGATGTTCTTTCACCATTGTCTGAAACGCTGAAGGGTTCCCCATGCAGGCATTTCCGGTGTAGGCCGGATGTTGAATATGTATCCCATGATGCCCTGTTTGTTGCATTGCTATGTCCGCCACGGGCTGGGAGTTGAGGGTTTGGAGACAGTTCGCTAGATGACTGAGGACACGTGTACGCATGTCATCCCCGATTGTAGGGACACTGGACAAGTATCGCATCACCTCCCCGCGCACTCGTTGAACCCAGCTCGATATTTTGTGATGACGTCAGGGCTGGTTGCCATGGCAGCTGCAAGATCACAAAAACATATCAATATAGTTAAAAATTTAAAGTACAAAACAATGTAACACGTATGGTATAAAACCGGACTCATCTTCAGGAAATTTCAATCTTAAAACATTTGACTCGTCAGTATTACGCAAGAGTGAGTGAGTTTAGTTTTACGCCGCAATCAGCAATATTCCAGCTATATGGCGGCGGTCTGTAAATAATCGAGTCTGGACCAGACAATCCAGTGATCAACAGCATGAGCATCGATCTGCGCAATTGGGAACCGATGACATGTGTCAACCAAGTCAGCGAGCCTGACCACCCGATCCCGTTAGTCGCATCTTACGACAAGCATAGTCGCCTTTTGTGGCAAGCATGGGTTGCTGAAGACCTATTCTACCCCGGATCTTCACGGGTTGTATTACGCAAGAGACCACAGCCATACATATGGGTGAGTGAACACGCAGCAGTAACTAACGGGATCAGAGTGTAACTGCACCTAGTAGTGGAAAACTAGAGGTCGATGTCATGAGCATACACTCACGTCATTGAAGCATAACGCACCCTGATGAAAGAGTAGCTAACTGACATCGGATAACCATGCACAACCCAGTTCCAAACACCTTTATGAGATATCAAAAGTACCCACCTGCCATTTGATGTCGCTGAACGTTCCTCAGATGTTTCACAGTCAGTTCTAAGATGTCAGCCTTCTCTAATTTGGAATACTGGGCATTCTGAAAAACAGCAACAATTAGTTCACAATTAATGGACATAAAACAAAAAGTAATATATGGCAATCAAAACCTGTCTACAACAGCCTCACATTGCAGATATACCAGATCGAATAATCTGATTCTCTTGTCCCACAATAACGGTATCTTCAGAAACAAACAGTCCAATTTCCCATTGTCTTGAGGGTTTGTGACGTTTCAATTGTTTTACGTAAGTACAATGTAAGTACTTGTGTGTTTAAGTACAATGTAGCTGTAATCTATAAGCTCAGAGATAACGAAGGGCTTATGACACTTTGAGGTGGCCGCCCTTTCAATGCACAGCGGGTAATCCCACCGTGTTCGCACATGAGGTGGCGGGAATAAGCACGAGATTAATTAACGCAAAACGTCATTACGATGGAATTAATTACTGATGCAGCGCGCTAGTTGGGGCTGCTCTTTACTTGGATGGAGTTGGGCTACCTGACGAAAATAACTCTTCAGTTAGGGGCAGACTCGATAACTAAAGAAGATTAATTCCGTTATACGAGGAGCGTTAAACCGGAAACCTCAGCCTGATTACCATTTGATTATTCAATGTCACGAAACTCCTTCACATTTATTTCAAACGATATTTCCTCCTCAACTAACGACTTCCTTAAACTTTGTTAGGCATTCTGATCCCTCTTTTCATTTCCCTCTGAATGGAAGAGATTTGCAACTTTCAATGATTGGATTATTATGATAATTGAAACAGACACGTGTACTGACAGACAAAGAAACTCAAGTATGATTCATTTATGGGAATTTAAATTTCACTTACAAATTTCTACAAATTTGTGGAGACTGATTAAGTGTTTCATGAACATTCCATATCAGGTGTCATAATGGAACTATAATATGCCCCTGACTCAAGAAGATGGATAGGTACTCACGTCTTTCTTCATGGCTTGCAGAACCAAAGTTTTCAGTTGTCCCAAGCACGTGTTGATGCGTGCACGACGTCGCTTCTCCATAAGAGGCTTGTTACTCTGAAACATAATGATGACGTCATAGCACGTGCAAAAAAGTAACGAAACTGAAAGACGACAGACAGAAATTTAAAGAATTTAGTTTTGCATTTGAATCCAATATCTAATTTTCAGTTGAACTTGTATTCTATCGTAATTAGAAATAAAGGCAATATAATTAAACTGTTTACAAACATAAGTACTATAATTCTAGGTATGTACATAATTGATAAAAATGGGTTCGAATTGAGAACAGTTTCAATGTACATGTTATCTGATGACTAGACATTTCGATTTGACAGCTGTCAAAAACGTAACAAAAAGTAAATAAAACTCATTATTCAAAGTGAAGATAATATTAAGTATTACTTAAATTATTTACTTACTTTTCTATACGATGATTTACATTCATCCCCTTTTCTTGGGGAGGATGGACCGCTTGAATCGCTTTCCGTCATGATCAACAAGTGGTCGTCTGCTTCTATGTCGTCTGCACGGCTACAGGTGGTTGTTTCTGCTCAGGCAATTCCTTCAGTCAGACCGTGAGAATGACGTATTTTCCCGGTGACATAGCTATATAACCAAGGTCCATCATACCTCTAGCGACCGGTGTGAAGATATCCCGCAACCCGTTCCCACGCTCGCATGCCGCCACGGTCGACCAATCACACAGCTCCATTTTGGGCACGACAGCATTTGGGTAATTTCATTGGTTGTGCGTGTTGTGACAGTGTAACTGTAATCTGACCGCGAGCGACTCAGCTGTCAATCAAGAGGTGATTGTGACACAAATAAACACTAGCGCGTGCCAGGCAGCCGGAGCAAGCCGACGGTCCCCTGTGGGAAAACCCCGCCCCTAGGGGCCCAAGAGTAGGGTCGCGGTGCCTGAGCACACAATCTGTTGATAAGTATGCTGCTCCTCGGCTCAGCAAGTGCCCCGTGGTCCGACTTATCAACAAGCCAGCACATACCGGCGGTGGGACTTCGTCCGCGTCACGAGGTAGACGGGACGACTTACATACAACCCGCGTCGCTTTACCGTCATAGTTCTACCATCCTCTGTTCGACTATCAGAGTGAGCGTATGTGTGTGATTTTGCGACAGATTTCACTTCGGCATGTAAATATGTCAGGTTAGTTATGCAACAAGTGGTTCACAGCATGGAGTCAAGTCACATTTGGAAACCCGCCCAAATTTAAAAAATCGGCTCTCACGACACACATTGAGTAACCCCTTCCTGTCAAGGAATCCACACTACCAAGAGTCGATTATATACGTACTTCAATGTCATGGTTGTTCGTGGTTTAACGTACCCCGATGTAGACTGTAGTTCGTGTTTTCTATCAGAGGTTTGTCTGGTCCAGGCTCGACCAGGCGAAGTGCAGCTTGATATAGTGCTGTTATATCGGTTACTGCGGTGTTGAGCATCATTCAGTCGTTTATGCACCAACAAAATGTGCATATAATCGTATCGTTGATTAGGCACAATACCAGACTACACTATTACAGAGAACCATTTACTCGATATGTATGTGTCGGAAGTTGTTAGTGAAATATGAGCTAGTTTACTTTTACGCCGCTTTTAGCAATATTTCAGCAATAACCCCGCGGGGGATGTACATCATGGGCTTCACACATTGTACCCAGGTGGGGAATCAAACCCGGGTCTTCAAAGTGAAAAGTGAACGCTTTAACCACAGGGCTACCACACCGTTCCTTGCGAAATATGGAGGAGTGAATGAGTGTTATTATCAGGGTTGAACAACATTCACTCATTTCATAAATATTCTGTAAAGAAATTGTTCATCGTGCAAAGTACGATTCTCTGGACAAACACTGTCTACCGGGAAAGTAATAAAGAAAACCTGATAAATGATGCTCTTTGTTGCATGGACCGAACAATTGACATAGAGCAAGAATGTGGTCTTTTTATAATTGAAATAAGTAAGCTAGCGGACACATCGGACTTTGTGAATACAAAGGTTGTCTACATGTGTTATACATGCCATCTCAGTGAAGTACAGAATCTAGTACATTTTAATGGAGTCCGGGGTTCGAACCCACATTCTCACAGTCAAGCATCGCCAGTACACGTAGTGAACGATATAGCCCACTCAGCCAACGCCACTTAGACAAAATGCAAGTCTGACAACTGACAGCCCACATCACGTACCTTGTGTAACCATCTGACACTGTAATTTGTCACGGCTGATAGCTATGAAAACACAAGGGGCGGTGGGGTAGCTTAGTGGTTAAAGCGTTGGCTCGTCACGCCGATGACCCGGGTTCGAATCCCCACATGGGTACATTGTGTGAAGCCCATTTCTGGTGTCCCCCGCCGTGATGTTGCTGGAATATTGCTAAAAGCGGCGTAAAACCAAACTCAGTCAGTCAGTCAGTATGAAAACACAATACCACTTGGAAAGTGGTCGAAAGTAACGTATGTTATAATTATGATAACACTTCCTCAGTATTTTCGCACTTCTATGGTTTGTATAAATTATTATACATTATCCATGTTTGTGAAATTTTGAATGGACGGATATGTGAACCAAACAGTTAAAAAAATGCTTGATATTTCTTCAAACGATTCCCACGGCAGGCAAAGTATAGAATGTTTTTAACTCAACCGTCAGTTTCTACCCTTGAATGTGATGTTTAACTGAGATTTTAGTTAATTTAAAAATCACTTTTACTGTAAAACAAGATATTTCTCGCTGCAAATAGCTAAAAATTGATGATTCGGCGCTAAAGAATATTCACTCACTCACTCACTCCCGGGAACAAGAGCAACCGCTATTATCTGTTTCACTAAAACGACAGCTACTGTAAACAACCACCAACCGAATCTCCCTGCGGGAAGGTGCGCGAACGGTCACGTGACAGTGGTGGGAAATATCGCGAGATGTACCTATCTTATCACCGCGAGCAACTGTATCTAGGCATAGTTCACCTTTTGTTTCGAGTCAGTGCCTGTAATTCGGACCAAGTTAATTTTAGAAGTCAGAAACATAACAGACAGACATTACGGAAACGGAGAATTGTTTTATCTGGGTGTATTGGGCAGACGCTAAATCTGGCCGAGCTTCCGTTTCAATGACTCATTAAAGCCATAGCTCCTCGTGAAATTGACAAGGCATATACTCCGCTATGATCACTTGACCAGATAATTTGACAAGCGTGAACAACGTACGTGCCGAAGGGTATAAAATATCATTTCATCAACTAGAGGTGAAGTTGGTTAGTGTTCGCTTCAACTTGATATAAAAATGATACGTCATTCTTGCAACATTGACGTTGCAAACGCAGTGTATAAAACACATATAAAACATATATTTAATTCCATAAACAATGTGAGTCAGAAACCGTTACACGAGTCAATTAGTATTGTTGCTATGAATTCTTTTCACAATGATGAATCACACTGGGAGCGAATAATAGTTCGTTAAATGTTGTTAGCTATGTAATGTAACAATGTCGATATAGGTTGATACCTTAACGTTTTTCAGCCCTATTGAGCTATAATACTGGTGATCACACTTAAATGCATGTAAATACCTTGACCTTTCAAATAATGGGTAACGTTGATAACGATCAATAAACCCGTGGTGTCAACAGCTGGGATTTATCGCCGTATTGTATATGTTTACAATGCACGTGCAAACCGTGCGCTTTATCTTATGTCTCCATGGAACCACGGAGCATGAACTATTCGATGTAGGTAATGATTTTACATATTATTGCATGAAACATTTTCTCGCAGACATTTTCTGCTTGAGACGTTTTCTCGCCGAGCTTTAGTGAGGAAATAAGTGGTGGTTTTACTGCACGTTTAGCAATATTCCAGCACTATGAGGTGGGAGAAAGCACAGACGGGTTTTACACATAATGCCTATGTAGGGATTCGAGCCTGGACCTTCGCTGTAACTGGCGAACACTTCAACAGCGGAGCTACACCACTGCCTTTCAGTGGTATAGGAGGAACAACGTTCAACAACATTACTGACACATTAAGCGCATTTCGAAACAGGCTAAGCACCATATATGACACCATGTGATTTTATTCAGTAACTATTGATTAATGCTTAGTCTCTGAATATATATAATTTTGATAGTAACAAACAAGCCCATTTAAATTGAAAAGGAGCCCCAGGGAGACCAGAGATTCAGAACCTGAGGAAATCTAGACTTGCTTTATTTATGGCTTTAGCACTGCAGAGAGGGCTTGGCAGTAGGGAATAATGTGGTTCAGGGACTGTGAGACAAACTAGGAAATCTAGACTTGCTTTATTTAGGGCTTTAACATTGCAGAGAAAGCTTGGCAGTGGGGAAAATAATGTAGTTCAGGGACCGTGAGACAGACTAGGAAATCTAGACTTGCTTTATTTAGGGCTTTAACATTGCAGAGAAAGCTTGGCAGTGGGGAAAATAATGTAGTTCAGGGACCGTGAGACAGACTAGGAAATCTAGACTTGCTTTATTTAGGGCTTTAACATTGCAGAGAGAGCTTGGCAGTGGGGAAAATAATGTGGTTCAGGGACCGTGAGACAGACTAGGAAATCTAGACTTGCTTTATTTAGGGCTTTAACATTGCAGAGAGAGCTTGGCAGTGGGGAAAATAATGTGGTTCAGGGACCGTGAGACAGACTAAGTAAGTATGGAAAGGAACGTTTATATCTTTCTCAATTGCCTGACAAAGTTCGTGAAACTTTGTTACAATAATTGACGTCAGTGCAAAATACTAAATTAAAGACCGAGAAAGTGTAATCCCAAATATATTGATTTAAAAGATCGATTAAGTTTTCAAGCAAACATGCAATGCCTCAGGCCCTCTCGCCTTTCCCACGATACTATGCCATTATCATAATGTATCCCGGATTCGTTAAACTTAGAGGCGCTCAGAAATATTGTGCAACAGATTAAACAACGATTGTGTTTTCAAGTACAGTTTCTTTTACCAGGAAAACACAGCATTAAGATTGAGATAAGTAGTTTATAAAATATTTGAAATCAGGCATCTAACGCCCGACCCTACATGCAGAGTTGTCCCCCCTGCCAGGTCGCGCCCGACCCTAAATGCACTTAAAGAGGATTCAAGTACTTTAGCTGGCGACAGCAAAAGACGAACGATGGGATTTATCTCAAAACCCTGGCGGGGTATTTTAGGCCCCTCGTAACTAGCTGATCGTGCGTATTATGTTCTAACATTCAACAACGCGGCTATTGTGATAATCCTTTAATCCTTACATAGCGGAGAGATGTGACTTAGTAATCTGGTAATCCACTCGTGGCTCTCGCAGCCCTGTTGGTCAACAAACAGCGCGAGCGCGACACAGACTCCGTATGCAAATGAGCTCGTGCTGTTTGATGACGTCACGTCTGTTGCCGTCCGTCTACAATTTTTCAACTGTTCGCACCCAGAAAGGTGTGAGCCTCAGCCCAAACATGATTGGAATGAAAGCTATTGTTTCCATATCGTTAGATTAACCGCTTTCTGTTTATGTGTTTAAAACCGTTGTGCATTTCATCTTACATGCCGTTCGTCAATCTAAATTTAAATGACTGTAAATATTTAAATTCCGAATGCACTGAAACATCGGTTGAGCGCCGAACACCCTGCCATTTCGTTTCCCTGATCACAAGGTGAAGTTACGACTTACATTTTAAGTTCAAGTTATGTATATAGGAATTTTAATTGTATATAAGGTACATATTTACGTATACTCACATTTATATCGAACGTTACTTTAGCTAAATGTGGTCCTATAAAACGTATTTTTGAAAAGGTAAAAATATTATTCGATAAACAAATCTTCAAGCTTTTACATTTCTGGATCTGAAACATTGATGAACGTTTTCTGATAGAGTTCGGAAGGTGAGAATTGAATAGGTGTGGATGTTTAATTAAATGTATGCACTTGGGTCTGTAAGATAGACAATGACATATTCAAAATATGAGCACAAAATGAA